GGCTCATCGCATGCAAAATGAAAAACTATTAACATGTATTTACATAACAATATTTTCTGGTAGTACTAGTACCAGTAAGTATAAAAGCATTAGATTGTTACTTCGAATGTTTTTTTTTATTTCTTCTCTCCTTATTTTCCCCCAGACTCAGGGCCATAGCCAAGTGTAGAAAGGTCGCCTGATGATGATTTTGTGTTTACAAGACGTAAGTTTTGTTAAATCTGTATAATTATTATGACCAATTTATTGTATCAAGGGAATAAATTTTTATTGGAACTGCAAAATTATTAATGTCCTTAGTGAGTTTGCATGAGTTTAGGTGAGATATAACTCCCAACATGGCTGACCTGAAGTGAATGGCTGGCCCAAGGTGGCCACTCTGAGTGAGCTTGTCGAGCCCTTGGATGTGTATTAGTGAGCTGCGGCTAGAGGAGAGTCATCTCTATATCGCTGCAGCCTAGGTGGATTCGCAAGGGAAGAAGATTGTTGGTATGGTAATGCACCACTCGACTATCCTCCACGACATTGGCGGGACTGTACCACTTGGTGCTTCTGAGTGCTCGTTTTTTCTTGGCTCCGTGGCCTCCATATATCGAGCTCGAGAAATCGGAGAGGGAAGTCCTCAACTAATGAGGGGTCCTCGCTGGTGGGACCGCGGATGTGTTTAAAAGCGTTTCCGTGGCCCTGTCAATGTGTGGTGAAGGTGGAACATCATGGGGTTTTAGTAGGTGCAAGTCCAACATAATCCGTTCTTGTCCCGGCAATGCAGGTATGCGTAGGCATTTTCTCATTTGAAACCCGGAACAAAATCCGTTCTGTAGTTACGAATAAAAACGTAAATAGATCAACGCAACGTCGATCTTGGTTTTATATGAGGTATAAAGCTTGCGTGTAAGGCCTAGGTATTAATCGATACATTTATTTATTGTATGGCATTATATTAATAAGATACATAAATAGAATGGACGTTACGGGTAGGCCTGGGTATAGAATTTTTATCGATATATTTTTCACACTGTCTCATCTCTATTATTGATTCCGCGGACGTTCACTTCTGTTGTCAGCGCCAAAATGACGAAAATCAAATCGCCTCATTATGTCGCAGTGTATAGTCAGTCTATATATAAAGGTCAGTAGTTGTAATCTCCCGAACGCTGCCCAGCCGACTTGAATCCGTAGGTTAACCTCTCGGTCGAAGTCTAACTATTAGCTCCAGGGAAACATACTCTTCAACAACTTCGAGCTTAGTGCTCCCAACAACTACCGGCATATGTGTAACATGGACGTTACACATTTTTGTTTTGTCAATATTCATCTTAAGACCTATCCGTTGGGAAACACTATTGAGGTCATTGAGCATAGTGCTTAGGTTCTCCAGCGATTCTGCCATAAGGACTATATCGCCGGCAAATCGAAGGTGACTCTCACCTTCGATTTGCCTTTCAGTATATTTACGAAAATTTAATGTATATTCACAAAAACAAAGGTAGTTTTAGTAAAAAAAGTGATATACATTCTGTAAACACTAAGAACCTAGTGATGCCAGTTTCTCGACTCCACAGAGTCGATTCATTCTTGGGGCAATGTATACGCTATTACAGCAAGGTCCCGGAAAGTGTACAGGTTCTCTCTATTACCAAGTTTAAATGTTTTATTAAGCTGAAACTGTATGAAAAGGGTTATTATAGTGTTACGAGCTTTTCCATTGGAAGGAACTATTGAGGTCATTGAGCATAATGCTTAGGTCCTCCAGCAATTATGCCATAAGGACTATATCGTTGGCAAATCGAAGGTGAGTGATGTATCGCCATTGACGTTAACGTAGACGGCTCCTTGGCGCAGTGGCTTAGCAATGAGTTGCAGCGCTAAGGGCCGTGGTTTCGAATCCCGCACGTAAAAAGTATTTGTATGGCCTACAAGTAATTGTTTCGGGTCTGGATGTTTGTCCTTGTGAAATTTTGTGTATGTAAACTGTAAACCCCCATGCTACCAGGCCTCCGTCACTCGCTCAAGACCCTGCGTTATATGCCTACCGTTTTGCGTATCGCCCACGATACAACCGACATTGGGCTGCCGCACGCCCGCCTGAGCGCTTGCACCGCACACGTTTCCCGCGCTTACTCGTCGAAATGCCGAAACCACGTAATTATTGTGCAGTGGATGGGTGTCAAAGTCAAAAAAACAAATGAAAAATTGTCTTTTTTTCTTAACTATAAGATTACATCGAAACAAAGCATAATAGTGATGTAATTTATAAATTGAGTGACAACCATTTTCAACGATAAAATTTAATAACCGAGAATTCTATTTGAAGGAAAAAAATGTATTTATATATATATATATATATATATATATATTATATAAAAATACATTTTACAAAACTCAAACATATTTTATTGACAAATAAAAAATATGGTAATTTCGCAAGATTCGTTTTATTACAATAATTATCATAGGTACAACCCTAGAGCATTCGTGCGATAACGCGCTTGCACGTGAGTCGCACGGCGGTCAACACAATCTCGACTTTTTCTGCGCGGATTTATGGTACATTTTCCTCTCGCTGCGAACAGTAGATATTATTATTAAGATTTTGTAGGCTATTATAGCGTAGGTATTTTCGCTTTTGTATGGGAGTGATGTATCTGTTTAGTAAACTATTAACTAATCTGTGACGCTACAGGAAAAACCCTAGTGAGGAGGTAAATGTTTTAAAAAAAAAACTAACACCGTATCCTTTCCAGTCTAGTAGCTTGAAAACGTCCTCCAATGCAGCTGTTTCTTAATTTTACGTTAATATGATTGTGTATACAGATAATTAGTTGGCCAAGTTGCCCTCGAAACCGGATACGCCATATTGTGTCAAGAATTTGATATCAATCTAGCTTCTAGTAAAAATATAAATGATAACCTCGTAAGGCCCAAGACAAAAATAGTATGCAACCAAATACCGCCCAATGTTCTCGGTGGAGAACTTAATAAACATAACGCTTACCGCCCAGACCGAAACGAGTTCATTAGAAAGATTTCTAGGAAAGGTAGAACTAAACACTTTATGTGGCTCATATATAACACCCCTTTGAGCATATTTTTAGAACTTTTAAGGCGATTATTTTTGTTCTCATGTGAAGACATTGGGTCGTTGTTGCATTTTACCTAAAGTTTTATTTGTGATCAGATGATGACATTGGTTTTAAGTGTAATAAATAAAAAATATAAAAAATTTCAACATTATACTTTTTTACTCCTTATTTAACATAATAAACTTAAAGTGTGCAGCAGCTGGAAAATTCTGTTCTTCATGATAGTGCCTGTGCAACTAACTCCTCTCTTTAGAAGTTCATTTGCCAGTTTTATTGAGGTGCAGTATCGGTCGAAGTAAAGTATGTGTCCTGGGACAAGTGTATTAGCTAAAGTGATTTGAGCTTTCTCTCCCAATCCATCTTCTAACTCTTTGTAAGTGGTTGACCTTTGATAGATATGAAAATCTGTTACTATTCCACTGGGATTTGCAAGAATAAAGGCTTTCATACCAACTGGGTTTGGTTTGCCGGGGCAATATTGTTTAATTCCACATGCAAAGGCACTATCATTTCGGCAAGAGACATGTCTTTTTCTTTTTCTTATACCCTACATCCTTCTTTAATTCGCTGTGTCAAAGGTTTCATTTTCCATAACTTATCTTCCGCACGTTCAGCTTAACTAACATTGTCATCAATTATAAATTTGATACAGTTTCTTTGATTTCTATAAATCTGTAACGGGACATATTATCCGCAATTATCGCCATTCTCCATTTACTTTCCCAGTACATTCTTATTACTGGATAGTTTACAGAATCCATAACGAACGTAATCCCGATGTACACGTAAAAATCATTCATATCTAAATTCATGCTTCTTCTATGCAATTTTACTGAAGTTTGTTCTTTCAACGAGTAACTGTATAAACTTATCATCTATATATTGTTCAAAATATGTAACTTTTTCAAAAAAATCTGAGTTAAGTGGTAAATAAGTCAGCTGCGATAATTTCATTTCTTTTGGTGAGAATAGTTACTCAGACCAACCAGGTAGTGAAGTTTTAGTCACTGGCAGAGGAAGTTATATTGCTGCTACGACTACGATTATTTCCACGAGTAAAGCCACGACGAGCACGTGATGAAGTTTGCTGTACTATTCTTTCTTCGTGGATTTTTTCTGGCTCTGATCTTTCAGAATCACTCAAACTAGATAAATGATCTAACTCAAGTCTAAAAGGTGGGTCATGGTCATCCAAATCTTCATCACTAGGTGCGAAGTCTTCAATCTTCAATTCGTTTAATAATTTAGAAACATCTTCATCACGCAAATCTATAATATATAGAAATAAGTACTATAAAAACAAAATTCTTCAATTTTCTGAAAGACGATTACTTAACTGATTAACACCCAATGACCTCACATAATACCAAATAAAAAATGACTGTAATTGTAACTACCGCCCCGTGTGATTGTTCAATCACATATTTTTTTAAATCAAAATGATTTTTTATGCACAGCAGTATATGGAAAAATAATACAATATTTATGTAAAACAAAATCGAAATTTCATGATTACAAATGATTTGTTGGAAAAATAAACGGATTTATTAAATAAATCAAGATCAAAACTCACCATGACGATGCGTGTACTCCATGTTGGCTCAATTCAGTTTAAAATGAAGAGCAATCTGTGGTTGGTTGCCTACTTGCTCTTGATCTAAATGTTGCTAGCAAAAGGGCCAATCAATGACGTCTAATAAGAAATACAATACCCGCGAATTTTTTAATCTAGGAACAAAAATATAATTTGTCCTCAGTGGTTGACAGTGGGCGGTAATTTTGATGACAATATTTTTCGTATTGGGCCGAAACGCATAAATTATTAAGTACTTCTCTGATCACATTGGGCCTTACGAGGATAAATATGATAGTAATGTTTAAGATAATGTTGCCATGTCAAATGAAATATAAAACAATAGAAGAAAATATTTTTATTGCACAAAATTTTACACATATAAAATCCATTTACAAAATAGAACACGTAAGATCATTTTAATAGTTGTAAGGGTCATCCTCACCTTTCCGCGCTGCACCATGCTAACAAACAGGGTTCTACCATCAAATAGCGGAATATCTATTAGGAAATGCCACAGACCGGTAATCAGGTGCAGCACAATATCATCAGCACGAGGGTATCGGTTATGCATTCATATTCGTTCATTTATTCATTACATCCTGTCAAAAGTCCACAGCTGTACATTGTCTTATAGAGCAAATTTTGTCATAGTTGCCATAGTGCCATATAGACTGGTTGACAAACGCTATCACTATATTTTTATTCTCCAGTTAACAGGAAAATACTGTTGACCACCTATGTCAGATTCCTTCTGTCGTTTCTTACGACAACCATTCCCAAACCCACCTATTTAGCGTGATATGGGCTCTTCCAAAATTAAATCTTGAAATGATCCATCGAACAGTGGATTAAGAAAGCTGATAAATAAACATGTTAACAAATGTTTTAATGTATTTTCACTTTAAAACCTTCCGTTCACCTACCCTCGAAATATTAATCCACTGTCAAATGTTAGTCCAAACTAAAACTATTAAATAGTACATAACATAATCTTAAGTAAACAAATTCTGACATAATATTATTATTATAAATGTTGCATACATAGGTACAATGTATTAAAATAAACATTTTCTTTATTTCTTATTATGTATAAATCATTTTTCACAAAGGCAAGGTGACTGATGAAAAGTATATATTACACTAACTAATGAATGGATATATTCATTTTTGGTAAATACTATAAGCGCTTAACTATTGTGATTATAGCTTTACTTTAATTATGTTTTAATTATTACAATACCTGTCTCGCTATAATATTTTATTGAAAAAAAGACAGAGCAACTTAAGCATTTCTTAAATAGACATCGGTTTTATAAGTAAGGACCTAATAATTAAAATACTTTAATTGTTCACTGCATTGTGAAAATACTTTAATAGACAAACATTTTTAGGATTTACATATTAATTGATATTCTTTTTATTGGATAAACTTGTTTTAGTAATTTTTTGCACTAAGTGAATAATAACTGATAACTGTCTCTTTTGATTTTAAATATTAATTACAACTAAAATAAATAAGAAATACAACAAGCATAAAGCACCCACACACCAAAAGGCTTAAAATATCGTCAATTGCACCAACTGAGCACTTCTAAGTGCACCAAACTGTATGCCAGACCTACATCACCAATCATTGCAACCCAAGTCCATTAACAATTTGTCTTTGATCTTTGGTTTAGGATCTTCCTTGATTTTCGTATCCACTGCACCAACTTGACCAAGGATGTACTCCAACTCTGTGAAGTTTTTTTTAAATTTATGATCTAGGACACATTTGCATGTGATTTTAACCACAAATTTGATCAATTTGTTATAATAAAGCAATTACATGTACTAATGCAGTAAACATTTTGAATACATACCATCACAAGTTAATGCTGTTCCTCTTAATTCTACTGGACCCACAAACTGCTTCTTCATTTCACCTTCATAATAAATAAACACACTAGGCAAGTTTCGCTCTGGATAGTTGGGGATGCATGTTTGAGCCATAGCTTTCAGGAATTTCGTGTATGGAAACTTAGCAGCCAATTGGCGCATATGCTGGTTAAGAAGGGCACACTCTTGAATTCTATAAAGAAATTAGAATAAATCAGAATATTTTTAATTAAATACAGATTATTAGATAATCTAACACATAAAGATGTTATGTTTGTTCGTAATTTATGCACTGCCATACTGTTCGTTAGATTGGGGTAAAACATTGTCAACTTATTGCCTGCACTTATAGGCATAGTACAATTAACTTACAGCAGGTGGCGTGTGTATCGTAGTGACAAATTTATTTGAAATTTATTATCATACCTAATTACACAAAAAAGCTCTTCCAAATTTAAAACAATATTTCCATAATTATTTTTTCTATGGCAACAACACACCAGGTACCAATTACATGAATTTCAACTCGAATTAACTAGAGTCGTAATTTTTCCAAGTTGGCACATCTATAATGTGTACATTCAACTAAGTCCAACCCCCCCTTTCTTGATCTTAAGTATTGAGCCATATTCGTAGTTATAATTTATTTATAACTATGTTATAATACAATTATTGTACAGATGTTTAAAAAAATATGTAGTTCATTGATCTTTAAATTATTTTTATTATTCATCTAACTTCAGAGAATTTATTAAAACCTCTATAAATTTCTAGAACTCTATCATTTTAACTTACCCTAGTTTATACAAATGAATGACTACCCAGATGCCTTCACCAGCCTTGTTCACTTCTTGAACATAATCTTGTCCTGAAACTTCTTTTACTTCCCCGAACCGGGGCTTTTCTGCTAGCCTTTTAATTTCAGCAATACGCCGCCTTCGGTATTCTTGGAGTACAGCCTCATCTTCTTCGTCTTCTAACTCATCTAGACCATCCAGGTCTAGTTCTGATAACTGCTTTTCTTCTGAAGAGTCAAATAAAACTATTAAAACAAAAATCAGTAACACTTCAGAAGCACTACAATAATGCCAAACAATTACATCAGCACGGGTAGGCTGATAAAAAAATGTGATCATACATCACACTTTGAATAAAGAGATAATCTATGTTAAAAGTAAATAGATTCAATATAATGTCAAATGAAAGTTCAGGGTGCTATTCCCCAGTCGAGAGTTAATTCCATGAAAGTTATTTTTAGATTAATTTAGAGTCATGTGTTACATAGTAATCAGAAGTCTTTAATTAAATTAGATACTTATTTTAGATGAAAATATATTTTGCTCTTGTGATAAAAGATAAGATTCATTATGCAAATAATGTTTCATAATGAAAAGAGTTGAAATTTAGACAAAGAAAGCATTAGTCTCCTACTGACATGATAAGGGTTGTGTGGGAATTGGTTATTCATGTTGTATGGGATCTAAACAGAGTCCAAACAATGTAAAATTAAAATAAAAAATACCAACCGCTGTTACCGACGCATGCACGGCGCACCGATAAGCGCACTTAAGAGCGCGCGCGCGAGATTAAAATTACTTTTCGAACATATTTTTTTTTTGGTTTTATTCTGGAATATAATTCAATATTTTTCGAATGTACGAGAGTATTATTTTTGATGTCGGCGGGCCACCAGTATTCGACCGGCGGGCTGCGGTCTGTGCATCTAAGCCCTAGGCTGATAAAATTGTTCGTTTTCCTAATTATGGTAAAATTAGTGGTATGTAAGAGAGAATGTATTAAATAACTAAGACTAACAAAATGACAGTCATTTTTAATAACAATGTTTTTTAATTACAAGCACAAACCAAGACTGCCATATTACTTTCAAATATTGTGTGATCCTTACCTGCAATGTCTACAGTTTTGTTAATTACGAGTATATGAGTTTTATAAGGTGTACCTGCAGACCAGAACTCCGAAACTTGCTTAAAAATATTTATGACAGTTTGCTTTTATGGAACACTAAGTACTTTGTTTATTCTAGGTTTTAAGTAATTTAAAATTTTATGAAGGTCACTTAAGGACTTTTTATGAAGGAATATTGAGGGCACGTTTTGGTCGCCGTTGGAATTGGTCAGTTACAGGTATTTCATGTTGTGATTCACTCGCGCTCGCTAGATTACCCCATTTTTCAACTAAGAATAACACTGCACCAACAACTCAAAAAAAACTAGTAATAACGGTAACAAAACAATAAAAATAAGAAAAAAACAGTAATTAGATCATAAATATAATTCACAAAGGAATGACAATTACAGATTATTTACACAAAAAAACAGATGACATCACAAACCGGTAAAATTAGAAAAACCCTGGCATCACATCATACAATTTAAATTATTTGTGAAAATTTCTGTAAAGTGAATAAAAATAAGTAATAAATGTTTCAGGATTATTATGTGTTAATAACATGAGTGCTGTGTTAAAAGTAAAATAGTGAAATAATAATAGATTTATATAAGAAAAAAGTTGAATTAAAGTGTCAAATACCTTTAAATTGTAAATTAAACTATTGCGTTAGTTAAGATATTCATGTTTATTAATAAAGATTGTTATTTTAATCATGTGTGTTAGATATTCAAGATTTCTAACTTTAAAAATGTTCTGTAAAATAAGTATATTTTGTTGAATATCTTAATATGTTTTTATGTGATAACAATACATTGTTGTATGTATAACATAATGATATGACTGTGTGTGATTCTTATAAATAAAATTGAGTAACCATATGTTTTACACAAATAAAGATATGGGGTAAAATACAAGGGTGCAATGGTGAAAATCAATGTTAAGATATGTCAAAATGGTGCACGGTGTGCGGTTCTCTTTCGCGTATAGCTCACAACTAGGATAGTAAACTGGTAATTTGGAAATTTGTTCGGGCCAGCTACTAGTTTTATAGTTTAAAGCAAGAATGAAGAAGGCAATAGGGAAGTGATAGGAAAGTAGTAAAAGTTTCAATGTCACACTCTTATGGGGAAATTACAAAGATAAAATCACTGTTTTATTTCCTACTACACCTTCTAATAACAAGAGGAAAATATACAGTCCACTCGAGAGACGTCAAGACCGGGACCCCACCAGAGGGACCCGTAATCTTAGTTGTCTAACCTTTCTTTTCAGAAAGGGCAACAGACATTCTTGTGTGACACTCCTTCACAGGGGTCACGCCCACCTCGTTGTTCCCAAACCAAACTTGGTGTGATTTCAATTCCAAGGGTTCTATTCCTTGCAACTGAAATCACTGTCTATGACTGATTAACCCCTGTCTGTTGGACCCGTTCAATCTGATTACCATATAACAACATATATTTTAAGAATTCTTCCTAAGACATGTCAGGTGTACATAACCTAGAATTTCTTAAAAAAATATTTAGTAGCTTACTCTCTGCTTGTTTATTTTGTATAGTCTCCTCGATCATGTTCACAATTTGTTCTTCGGAAATTTCTTTCTCCTTGGCAGGAATAATTCCCTTTGAGCGAAGGATATCGTTCCATTCTGTATCCTCGTTAGGGTTCTTAAGAAAAAATAAAATTTGTAAGATGACAATAATGTTGAAGTTGTTATTATAAAGTATAAATTTAACTATTTTACCTGCATATTTTCTAATTGTTACTTATTTTATTTTATAAAAAATAACTTTATGAATGTTATTCTTAGTTTTTGAAATTCGACACCTTCAGTTTCATTTCATTTCACCTTTCAGCATGACATTGACATTTGCCATTTTCATTATCTTTTTTATATAACTGGCTTTACGGCTCTGGATTCTAGCCCTTTTGAGCCTGAACTTACAATGTATAATTATCATTCATAGTACACTGCTTCACAATAGGTTGATGCGTCACATGGTGCAGACCTTGGGAGATTTTGACTAGCAGACAGCTGACAGTTTGCGATGGTATTTCAAGGTGCCTAAGCAGACAGACACCTTATCTTGAGAATCACATCACTATCAGAGCTCTTATTTTACCGTTTCCACTAATAGTTCACATGTGTAGATACTAATACACAAAATCGCAGCACTTTTACATATCAAAATCCACTTCAAACCATTATTTAAACAACTATACAAGAACAGTAATCCTCCACCATTCAAGTTACCGCCAAAACTCTTTCGTTTTTCATTTGACCAATGACCAAAGACTGGTAACTGTCATATACAGGAACCAAGTATTCTCTTAGTAGGCTGTGGGAACATGGGAACCAATGACCAATCATCAAAATTACTAATCAAGTCTTGTGTAGTTCGCGAACGATGAAGGATTAAGATACATATCTTAAACCACTGAACAAGAAACGTTTCTGAACGTTATGTATGCATAAAGAGAACCACAAAGTAATAAGAAGGACAGAACCTACAATTTTAAAAAGTGCAATAATAAATTTTGGGTGTATATGGGTAATACTATTATTTAAAAACTTTGCTTTATTTGTTTATTAATACAATACATACAAACACTCACGCCTGTCACCCAAAGGGGTAGGCAGAGACTACGGACTTCCATTTGGCGCGATCCTGACACACTTCTCTCGCCTCCTTTACAACCATATATTTACGCATATACGCTCTTCGGTTAAGGGTACTCCTAATCTGGCCCATTTTCAATGTATCACCGAATGGGTCGATAAATCTTCGCCTAGGGCGTCCCTTCCCGACTTTGCCGTTCACTTCTGAAACATAAATTTGCTCTGTCACTCTTTCTACGTGACCAAACCACCGAAGCATTCCTTTTTAATCCTAGTCACAACGTCATCTTGCAAACCACACTTTTCTCTTATCACACTATTTCTCATCCTGTCATTCAGATTCAGCCCTAGCATACTCCGTAATGACCGCATTTCTACAGCCTTTATTCTACTCTCATGCTTCTTCTGCCATACCCAACTTTCACTACCATACATTAAAGTAGGGTCTCACACACCATTATGAATTGCCATACGTGCCTTCTTTGACACATTCTGACTCTTCATAATAGCGTGTAGAGCCCCATTAACTCTATTTCCTGCGTTCACTCGTCGTTCTATATCCTTGTCATATCTACCATCCCTGCTAGATAAACATCCCAAATATACAAACTCGTCCACTTGCTCAATCAACTCCCCTTCTATTCTTATTTCACATAACGTTTTACTTTCTTCTCTTTCAAAAACCATCACTTTCGTCTTACTTGCGTTCACTTTCATACCCCTTTCTTTTAATGACCAGTTCATTAAATTAACTATAATTTGCAACTCGGCCGCCGACGATGCAAATATAACTTGATTATCGACGTACAAAAGGCATTTGACAGACTCATTCTCAACCCACATTGTTCAACTTTCAAAGTTTGCAAACAACTGTCCATAAATAGGTTAAACAGCCACGGAGAATCTACACAACCCTGTCTGACACCTTTTTGAATGTCAAACCAGTCCGAGTAGGCCCCGTTGATCCTGACATAAGCACTAGAGTCCCTATAAAGAGACTTTAATGCCTGTATCAGACCAGCGCTCAACCCAAATGAGGTCAGTGTTTGCCATAACACGTTCCTATCCACTCTGTCATAAGCCTTTTCCAAGTCCATGAACGCACAAAAACGTTCTGGTTATTGGCCAAAAATTTCTCCGAAATCATGTGCATGGAAAATACTTGATCCGTACACCCCATCCCCTTTCTAAATCCAGCTTGCACATCCCAAATTTTTCCATCAGTTTCTTCCATAACTCTTTCAATTAACACCTTAACATACAGTTTACCCACAATGCTAAGCAAGCTGATACCACGGTAGTTTTTACAGTCCTGCTGCGACCCTTTTCCCTTATATATTGGGACTATAACGGCTTTGCACCAGTCTTCCGGTACCCGCTTCAGTTCCCAACATAAATTAAACAAGGTGTACAGCAGGCCTGCAACCACACCCTCTCCAGCCCTTAGCATTTCGAGTGATACTCTCTTGTTTATTAATTTGTATTTAATTCAATGTAAATTTAGTGTTCATAAAACAAGTCTAAAAGCCAACAAAAACTTTGTAAATATTTATTTGATTTAGTGATTGTAAATATAGATATAGCTTCGTTTTAGGTTGGAATATAATAAAGAAACAATTTCGCGACAAAACACAAGTGTGTTTTGGGAGTTTTCTGAAAAACTGATAATGAAGGAAAATAAAAAAGCGCGTTTTAATATTTGTAAAAGCGAATTTAGTTTTCAGACAACTTCAAGTAATCTGAAGTCACATTACGGCAGCGATATTATACAGCACACAAAAGTTTCGTTGGAAGGGAAAACGTTTGCTAGAACTTCGCGATCTGTGAACACTTTGGGTGTCCAAGCCCTTGCGTCAACACTAATTTAAAAAAATGTCTTTTTGAGCCAGCCTTTGACGCCAAATCCAACCTCCGTGATGCCATCACCTGTACCGCAGTCTCAATACAAACAAGGATAAATGGATGCCTTCATTCTTAGAAAGATGTTAAAAGATCAAAAGTATGAAGGAGAGTTCATTTGAGCACCTAAATTAGTATTTAAATCGAAACAGTTTGTTTTACAAAATGACAATAATTTTGATGATAACTATTCTATAAGGGACATTGTTTTGATGCCGTTACATGGAAAATAGACAGTTATGAATATAGATAGTTATGATAACGATTGTTCAATTAGGGAACATGAATAAAATAGGCGACTCACACGATAGGCAAAATTGTATATTTAAATAATAAAAATACTAAATAATTTGGTGGCGATCGGGTCGCGAGCTATCAGCGAGTGGCGGTCTTAAGCGCAGTGGTGAGAAAACCCCCCGCGCTTCTCTAACTCCCCGCGAACACTGTAGGTGCTGTAGTAATGGCGCTGACATATTCCCGGTGCTGGAAAGCTTAACAGCTTTCAAGAACTTTCAACACATCGGGCTTCGGTAGTAGGACGATTCTATTTAGGGCTCACCGCACAATTCCTCTTGCAGTGTTTATATCTGCGACGCGTGTCAATCCGTCAGTTCCCGTGAAGAGTCTTCTTACACGTCCGAGACGCCAATAGAGCGGTGGAGCGTTTTCTTCTTTCAAGAGGACTAGGTCGGCAATTTGTAGGCTCTCTTTGGACTTCGTGCGCCACTTCGTCCTCAACTGCAGCTCCGCAATGTACTCGTGGCTCCAGCGTCGCCAAAAGTGTTGTTTAAACTGCTTGATGTGCTGGAATCTGTCGAGACGATTGGCATTAGTGGATTGTAGGCACGGAGATGGCAGCGAGCTTAGTGTTCTACCAATTAAAAAGTGGCCCGGAGTTAAGGGATAATAGTCAGTGGGAGAGGAACTTAATGGACATATGGGGCGGCTATTAAGGATGCATTCTGTTTGTGTGAACAAAGATAACAATTCCTCATAGGTTAGGTGCGTAGTCGTTAATATCCTAGCCAGGTGGAATTTGGCTGACTTTATACCGGCCTCCATCAAAAGATTGAAGTGAGGAGCATATGCAGGCGAGAAACAAAATTCAACGCCTTCGTTAGTGGCAAAATCAGCGATATTAGTGGCATTAACTTCAAAAAACTCTTTAAGTTCCTTTGAAGCGGCAACAAAGTTTCCACCATTGTCGCAGAATATCTGCTTTGGTAGCCCTTTCCGCGGAACAAAGCGTTTTAAATTGAATATAAAAGCATCCTTGGACAGCTCACTAACAGCCTCTAAATTGATGCACTTATACCTAAAACATATGAAAATACACAAATAACATTTTGTAATTTTACAACCACGACCTTTACGATCCGTAATAAAAGGAAAGTCGGGCATTAGTCTTTGAGAAGGTAGGTTGTCCATTATGTTTTTCATAGACTGACCCTTAAAACGCCTACATACAGTGCAATTATGTACAGTACGTCTAGGCAGACTTCTTCCACCAATGGGCCAAAAACGCGTTCTAATAGAAGCTAGTAAGGCTTGGGGCCCTAGATGTAGAAGCCGTACGTGTTCTTGTTGGAATAAAAGTTGGGTAAAATGGTGTTTAGGGCTTAACAACATGGGATGCTTCGTGTCGAAACTATATTCAGAAGCCTGAATTCGACCACCTACTTTTATCACTACTTCATGTAAAAAGGGATTCAATGCCGAAATGTGAGACTTAGGATTTAGGGAACTTCCTTTTAATAATAAATCGTATTCTTTAGGAAATGCCTCTAATTGGGAAATATAAACTAATGAATTAAGAGCCTTATTAAGCTCGACGGTAGTTGAGGATCCTGTAGCTTTAGTTTTAGAATTGTTACAGTTATTAATAAATCTATGTACATAGGCTAAAATGTGTTGTAATTGTTTTAATTTAGAATATTTATTAAAGTTAATAATTGATTGATAATTATCACAAATAGCAACTGGATGTGCTTTAACTTGCGGCAAATTCTTCATCTCAATAATAGTCTGCGACTGCATAGAAGGCCACTCGGATTCAGGCAACAATTAAAACTTAGGTCCATACCACCACATATCACATGCAGCGATCTGTTGTGCGTTCACGCCACGGGATAGCAGGTCAGCTGGGTTGTGTTCTATAGGAACGTGGTGGCATGAATTAGCGCCAGTCAACTCTCTAATGGCGGCGACTCTGTTAGCAACGAATGCTTTCAGATTAGAAGAATCGCAGCGCAACCAACTAAGAACTACGCTCGAGTAAGTCCAATAGACATGACGCGATATTTTACGTCGCA